GTGAGTTATCGTTGACGAAAGAAAACCAAAAAAAAGCGTTTTTTCGGAATTACTCCGAATTTTTCCACTCTGTCGATATAAACTTAAAGATTTTTTATGAAGCTTAAAAAACTGCGTCGAATGCCACCAACCGCGTTAAAATCGGTTCATTCATTCAAAAGTTATTGCGATTTGAAAATTCAATAAATAGTGTTTTATCAAACCTCTATCAAACTTTTGAGCTCGAAGAGCTCAAAAGCATACAAAAGCTATTTTTTTGAGCTTGGAGAGCTCAAAATAATACACAAATTGTACTTATGAGCTCGAAGAGCTCTAAAACGTCATAAGTGCAATTTCAAGCGTTTAGGTATAGAATTGGCGGGAAGTTGCAGGGATGGCTTTCAGGGTCAACCGTATTCCTAATTTTTTTTTTTAATTATATTAAAAAATAATCAAATAATTCAAAAACATGACAGGTTTGAGATGCGTTTGAATATTTTATGTATTATAATATTGCCCAATAATAAATCCAACACTCATTCTATTATAAATAGTTCGTGAGATGAAGGATTTCTATTTTGACAACTCAATAATTACGTCATTAATCGTTATTACTTTTTTTATAGCTTCAACTATCATGAAATTTGAGTCATTAAAATAATTATCAATGTTTTTTTTTTTTTGTTTACTTGAAATAAAAGATGAACTTGATTTTCAAGCTTAGGGATATAATGACTTGTCAATAAGATTACTGAATTTTTTAAATCAACAAATCTTCCATAGTATAGTTAGAAGGTATGTCGTGAAATGTGTTAACAGGTGTTTTTGGTCAACAATGCTTTCCTCTTCCTTAATAATTTCTTAAATTTAAGAATTAAGTAAAGTAATATGTAAACCATTGTTCTATTATACATTAAAAAAAAAATTGAATTAAACACTCACTGTAATTTTTTACGATGGATAATTTATTCATTTATTTTATATAAATACAACTTCGAATACCTGTACATTTGAATGGTTGATGTTAGTTCATCACGTCTACGGACATTTTTTTTTATTAAGAATTAATTTATTTTAATTAATTAATAAAAATTGATCAATTAAATTAATTTTTTAAATTTAATGTTCTTATATGATATAAACTTCATAGTATATCAAAAATCAGAGTTAGGTAAAAAAAATTTTTTTTTTAATCTTCATGTTCGCGATGTCACAATGAATGAAATATTTTTAAAAGAAAAATAATTTAATAAAAATTCTATTTTTCACACACTTTTTAAAAATATTTGTAGAATAAATATAAAATTATAATTACGATAAATTTTGTTGATTGCCACCAAAATCATTTAAAGTTATTGAAATATTCGAAAAATGTAAGAAAGTTTAAACATTCATACACTTAGACATCCATTGGAAAATTATTTTTATAACTTAATACGTTGGTACCTTAACTAAAAGACCGACTTTTGAAAATCGTATTGAAACGAATATTTATGTTTTTAGTTTTTACAGCAAATAATTGAAACGATCGCTGCTCTTAAATTTATACATATACACACTCACACACACACACACACACACACACACACACACACACAATATATATTCATCTATACATGGCGGTTCATTCGACGTGTAATTGAATTTACTTTAATGAGTATTAAGCAAACGAATATGGGTCAATAGTTTTACTTGAACAAGGTTGAACATTATCAGGTGGTTGTTGCCACTGTTTTGACCACATAGAAGCTTCAAGTAATGAAGCTTTCATTGCTTTAGCTTGTTCTGAATCTTTAGCAGCCTCAAGTTCCCACGCTTTTACTGTTGCAGCAACATAATTCTGAAGATCGCTATTAGTACTGGTTTTCGATGTTTTTCCCGAAGTTCTAACATCATTTTTACGTGGTTGTGGTCTCTCAATTGTTTGCAGAGGTAATTTCTGTGGCACTCTTCTTGGTTTATTTACACTATTATCAGCTTTACGATTTTCACCATTATTACCACTCGATCGATCATCTCTATCATCTCTCCTTTTTCGACGTTTTCGTTCAAGATCACTTTCATCTCGTTGCATTATATGAGCTTGGTTCTGAGATTGGATCTGCATCTCATCATCATCTTGTGGTAAAAAATGTTGTCTTGCAGATGCCCAGTGATCTTTTCTACTCACACCGGGCTTATATTCATCACAATTACCATTGCCTTTGCTTGTTGCAATTGATTCAGTGTCAACATTTTTTTTAGAACGTTGATTTTTAGTGATCCACGGTGGTGGTTGTTTTGGACCTCTATCCTTTGAAGTAAGCTACATTTCAATGATATTAATATTAATGAGTTGAATAAGACAATCGTTATATATGTATTTTTTTTTTTCTTTTTTTTAACTAATTAAGTACTTACGCCTGAAGATGAAGATTCAACAGGTTTATAAAGCTGGCTTTGAGAATTTTCATGCGAAAATGATGGCTTGCAACTGATGTCTTTACGTCCATGGCGCCATGAAAGGGTAAAAGCGATAAATCCACAAGATAAAGCTAATGCTGCAGCTGCTGTGAGTTGAGAACGAGTGCGATGTGGTACCCAACCACTTAAATGATACTCCCATATCGACAAACCCAGTAAACAACATCCTATAATATATGATACTCCAATACTGGTGAATAACCAAAAATTCTGAAATTAAATAAGAAACAATTATTTTAATTTGAAGTTTTTTTTTTGGACTCCGTAAAAATTATCCAGATAAATGCTTCTCTAATACTTGAAAACTTGATATAATAGTTCTAGTATTTTTTAAATACGATAAATAAAGCATAAAATAGCCACAAATATAATAGTATTTTCTTTTTCTATATATCGACAGACGATTATAATTTTTTCTACAATATATGTTTATTAATTTCGGAGCTTGTAATAAGATTAGAATGTTGAATAAAAATCATTTTAGTGACTGTAAAGGGGTGATTCTCTGTAAGGATGTTTTTTGCTGTCCCAGGCATTTTTTTATTAGAAAAAAATGTTATTTTGTTACTAAAACAAATTTATTACGAAAATAAAAAAACATTCCTATTTGGAGCATTGAAAACTAAAATGAAATAAATTTTGATTTTTTTGCTATAAATTCGTAAACCACCGAAATAAGAGTCCCCTGGGCTGTCCCATTCCCAAAATTAAATTTTAAGTTATTCGTCCATAATATATAATTTGGTCCATAATGTTTATAAACTTAATTAGTTAACTAACAATCTTCTTCAATAAAAAGTACCGAAAATTAATTTGTTTCATTAAATTCATTAAACCAAAGTTTGTCCCAGGCATTTTAAGAACAGTCCCCTGCCAAAAGTTCAAAGCCAAAAAAAAAAAATCCAGCGTGTTATTTTACCTTTTGTAAGGTTTATAAGGACCTAACTAGCCTTGAGTTAATAACCATAGGGCTATTAGCGCTTTATCGCCATTTTATTTATGGGTGTTAAAGCACCGTTTGTGCTGGAAATATGTGTCTGGGCCACTTCAGAACTCAGTCCCCTGGCAACTATTTTTATTTATAATTTATTTATAAAATTTGATCCATAAGTCTTAATATTATTCTAATGTAAACATTCATTGAGAACTTGAAAAGTTGAATGCATTGAAATAGTTTGCTTGATTTTTCTCAATTTGATAACAAAAAAACAGTCCCCTGTCATGTTATATGGCAAAAGATACACAAATATCGAAAAAGCAAAAATTAATTCGGCTGTTTATTTATTATGATCAAGCTGATAGTTTTGTAGCTCTTGTTAATTTTTTTTCTAATAAAATCAAAAATAATTTGGTCGGATAATTTTGTACAGATTTAAGACGTCCTTACAGAGAATCACCCAAAGCACTTTTGACTTTATAGTCACTAAAATAATAGATAGTTTATTTATTTTTATTTTATGCTTACCAACTTGGCCCAGTTGAACGGAAACATATATATAATATGTGAGATGTCAAGGAAGAGGAGCACAGTGGTGACTAATAAACAAAAAACTGCTACGAAAATAATAAATCTCAATCGTCCGACAAGAGGCAGCATAAAAAGACTGACATTGGCAGTACCTGAGCTACATAGTGTTGCCAGGCATGCTACTGATGTTATCTAAAAAGAAAAAAGAATTGGTAATAAAAAATTAGCAACTAACAAACAATATCATATTTATTATGTTTTAATAAAATAAATAAGAACGTACGAGCAATAAAAGTCTGATGAAACCTGTTGACGTTTTGAGATGACCCTGTACATCGCAGTAAAGAACCAAATGGTTAGAATCAAGCCATGGCAGTGCATTTGAGGAAGAGCCATGTGGATGTATTCCATAAGGGCCATGGTAATTAGCGTGAGAGTCCCACGAATGAACAGTTGAGTGGACTCCAGGTGAATCCAACTCAGACGATTGGGAGCTAATTGCTCCCCCTGTCCTACTTCCTGCTATAATCATACAGTTCATAGTTAATAAATAAATATTCATAATGCAAGTACCATTAAAAAAATAAAAAAAATAATTACCAATTTCGAAGTCTTGTATATCCTCAGGTCGTGAATAAGCTGATGGTGGTGGTTCTAAATCACGTATTTCTTCTAGAAGTAATACTTCTATTTCATCAGCCGCGTACAAATCCGAAACGGAACGAAGATGATGCCGAGTCTCGCTCATCACTTAGATATAAATCTTGGATGTTATTCACCTGACTCACCGATCACTACGATTTATCGGTGGTCGGCCTTGTCAGCAAATAATTATCATCGCAATAATAATTATATCTGATGTCCATGTCTTCACTTTATACCGTTGATTTCTTTCATTCATTTCCATTGCCAAACAGGCACTCAACCTGTAGTAAACCCTATGCATCAAGATAATATAAGTATTTGGTTAATTTATCGGTTACAGAAGTTATATATTAAATAAATCAATAATTTATTGATAATAATTTAATAGTTAGTTAATGTATATTTATAATAATTTGAATTGTGGCTAAATAAAAATCATCACACTTCATTTATACTTGGTCAGATGAATAAATTAATCAAAACAATTGTTAAATAGAAAACAGTATGATTGAATAATTGTTTAAAATATATATACCTGGATTGATTACAGTCAATAGTTTACTAAATCACATTTTCATATGAATCGGCATAGTAGAGACAGTGATAGTTTTGAGAAGTGTCGCCATTACTGCTTTTTTTATATTGCTTTGCTTATGAACCACTAGTAAACGACTTATTCTGTAGACATTGTCATTATTATTATTATTATCATCATCATCATTATCATTATTGTTACTATTATTATTATTATTTTAATTATTATAATTATTACTATTGTTATTATCGTGTGACTAAAGCTCTATCTAACCTTAGAAAAAAGAGACTTTATTGAATTGAAGAAGTAAAAAAAATAATTGAGAATTGGGGATCCATTGAAACTGACTACATTTTTTATTAGATGGTGTTCATCTATTACTGTTGTTCCTCTTATTGCGCATGGGTGACATCTTCCAAGTGGTTGTTGAACTTAAAACACAGTGACTTAATTTTAATAAACTTTTTTTTATTACCGTCCTCATTAATCAACAACGTAAGTACATATACATTTGTTGTAATAATAACTGAGTTGCTTTAAGTTTAAAATTTTTTTTGTATTGTTAAAACAAATAACTTATTTGTTGTATATTTATCATCTTATTTTACTACCGATAATTCAGATTTCTGATATAAAAAAGGGTCTATATAATTGCATGCACTACCCTGATAGCCATCCAATTGTAAAAGTTAACGTTAAGTTGCAGTCCAACTTTTATACAATCTAGGGCCGAAATTTGACTTTAACTTTTATCAAAATGTTTTAGTAAAAGTCTTAATGTGAAGTTTTAGTAAAGTTGGACAAAATGAATGAAAACACTCATTGATATGGCAGTTTATCAGAATTTGTCTCTTTTTTACATCGGTAGGTAATTATCGGTAAAAAAACGAAGCACAGTAAAAATTTTTATCCACTGTCGTGACAAAAAAGATAATATTTTATTGTTAAGGTAGTACTACCGGTTTTAGAATTACCGTTCAGAATTTAATGAAACTTGGCATATTGGTAGATTATAATATCATAATTAGCCAGTTAAATTTTTGGAAGCCTACAGAGAACTGAAAAAAAGATAAAAATATTTAAAAATTTTTGCCTTTAACATTGATCCTTATGGGAAATCACAGATTTTAATTTATTTCACAAAACTAGCCGTTCAGATTTTTATAAAATTGGTATCAATAGAAAGAAAAAAATTAATTGAATATTGTGGGTTAATAAAACCTTAGCTTCAGAGATTGTGATAAGAGTAATTAATAAATAATTAAGAAAAAAGTACTATCTAACTTACATGTGGCAACGCCGCGAATAGGTTATGACGCGCGCGAAATTCAAACATAAACTAATACGGTATATGGGAATATCAGTGTTATACACATAATTCAATACAAAACATACGTACGTCTTTATTATCACTACAGTTAAATAATTAAATAAATAAACATATTATAAAATACGTAGTATAATAAAAGTCAACTTTAAAATATAACATTTTTTAATTTAAGTTTTTTTAGTTTCAAAGTAATTAAAAATTTTATCTAAAATTTTTTTAGATTTGGTAACTTTTACTACACCATTTTCATCTTTACCTAAAATTTGTACTAGACCAGCATATTTATTTATTTTATAAGCATCTTGAAGCAGTTCGTAAGTCACATTTGCAGCAACCATTTTTTTCCTCATACCTGCTGATACACAATTTTTTATCAATTCAAGATTTTTTAAAGCTTGAGGCAAATTTTCAGAAAATGATATTTTATTGCATGCATCATCCCACTGAAAGAAACTGCCCATTAAATCATTTGAAGTTATGCCTAATTTTTTTATAACTGCATCCAGCATTACAACATCGTAAAGAGCATCATGCGCTTTCTCATTATTTTGGTGTGATTTAATGAATTTTTATCAGACATTGTAATAAAAAGATATGGATAAACTAAGTTTTGGTAAAAATAAATAAATGTTTGCGCAATAGACTTTTGCGCATCTTATATTCAAAGTGAAACAGAAAATATACTTCTGTCTCTTTTTCTTTTACGCGGCGTTGTCAAGTCAAATTACTGCGCAAGTCAAACTACACATAGCACTAATTTGACACCTGTGGTAACGGTAGTACTACCTTAAAATAAAAATTTAATTTAATTCAATTTTTATTGCATTGAATAACAATGTTGCAAATTGTCAGTATGTTTGTAGTATTTATAATTTGTTTTTTTAAATAGAAACTGAGCGTGTTATTCTTTAGGTCGCGGAGAGCGCATTAAATATTGAATGTATATGAGGTTCTTGGAATGAAGTCGTAAAATGTGACGACCGAATGATAAAAATTAACTCCAGTGTAGGAACACTTTTGTGGACACAGGTAAAAAAAATTAAGCGGCATTGTTGATTATTATTTTTAAATAGTCGCAAAAGTATTTTTGCTTTGAGAATTTTTACAGTCATAATTTATGATTAAATTTTAAATAAGTTAACAAAGTATGTGAAGAATTTCACGCTTTGTTTTATTAAGACGTTATTTTTTTCAGTTTTTATTTTTTAATATCTTGAAAAAAAAAACAAAAAAAATTGTTTAAGAATTTTTTAAGATTTTCAGAAAAAAGAATAACTTTTAATTTATTTTAGAGCAGTGTTTGTTTTTTTTTTTTTTTTTTTTTTTTTTTTTTT